CACATTGTGGGGAAGAGGGAAGTGAGCCCTCCTCAGTTCATTGAGATGGAGTCCATCTCAGCTACAGCAGGGGGAGTGGGAATGTGCAGTTATGTGCTGGGCTGTGTGCTGCCAGTGTGCCCTGGGCTAGTACCTGTCTTGATGAGTCAGTCTCTGTGCTAAACTGGTTTTTATGTATTTTGAATATTGTCCTTGCTTGTAGGCATGGAGATACTCAAATCCACAGACACACAGAAACACCAGCAGCAAGGCCGGGCATGGTGGCTCATGCCTGTAATCCCAGCACTTTGGGAGGCTAAAACAGGTGGATCACAAGGTCAAGAGGTCGAGACCATCCTGGCTAACATGGTGGAACCCTGTCTCTACTAAAAATACAAAACATTAGCCGGGCGTGGTGGCGGGCGCCTATAGTCCTAGCTACTCAGGAGGCTGAGGCAGGAGAATGGTGTGAACCCGGGAGGCGGAGCTTGCAGTGAGCTGAGATCGCACCACTGCACTGCAGCCTGGGTAACAGAGCGAGATTCTGTCCCCAAAAAAAGAAAGAAAGAAAGAAACACTAGCAGTGTACATGCATAAACAATTACATCTTCACACACGGGTGCACATGCAGTTATTTTCCTTAAGCTTAAAAGCAGAAGTTTCATGAACCTGGAAAATATGAACTGAACTGATCTAGGGTGTGACAACATGTTAGGAAAGCATCTGCCCTGAAGTCTTTCTCTTGGCCTCTTAATCTTTACGTCTTCATTTCTTTGTTAGATATCACAGGTGGCACCTGAAGGGATTAAAGCAGGCAGAGGCACAGCCTCAAATACATATATGTGTATATATCCCCAAACTCAGGAATACAGTGCAAAGTCATCGTTTCCAGATTGCAAAAGTATATTGAGAAAGATTCAACTAAAACACTAAGGCTTCAGTTGGCAAAATTTTTGTACAAAGGATCAGATAATGGGCTTGGCGCGGTGGCTCATGCCTGTAATCCCATCATTTTGGGAGGCCAAGGCAGGCGGATCACCTGAGGTCAGGAGTTCAAGGCTAGCCTGACAATATGATGAAATGCCGTCTCTACTAAAAATATAAAAATTAGCCAGGTATGGTAGCATGCACCTGTAATCCCTGCTACTTGGGAGGCTGAGACAGGAGAATTGCTTGAACCCAGGAGGTGGAGGTTGCAGTGAGCCAAGATTGCACCATTGCACTCCAGCCTGGGCGACAAAAGCAAAACTCGGTCTCACAAAAAAAAAAAAAAAAAAAAAAGGATTAGATAAATATTTTAGAATTTGTGATCCATATGGGTTCTTCAAAATGACTCAACTCTGCTATTTAGCATAAAAATAGCCATAGACAAGAAGACACAAATAAGCATAGTTATGTTTCAATATAACTTTATTTACAAAAAAGGAAGCAGGCCAGATTTAGCCCGTGGGCTTTAATATGCAGCCTGAAGAACCCGGAAGCTATCCAAGTGGCTTCACTGATCTCTAAGGTTAATGGGGCTCCATTCTGTCTCCTTGAGAAAGGATAAAAATCAATTGTTTTGGATGCGGCATCAGTTCTGTTCTTATTATTTTGTGCTGTGCATTGTGTTCTTCTGAATGAGTGATCTCAATCCCTCTTTTTGCTTCTCCTTCCCTCTTCCTGTGTATATATCTCTACGTGTTTCCCATTCTTCATTCTGTTCCCTTGCACTCGCAGGGTTGAGTGACTTTAGAACGGGACACTTTCACATTCATCCTTGCTAAAATCCTGGCTTCTTTTCCAGTTCCTCATCTATACTTGATGTGCAGTAGTAGAAAGAACACTTGCCTGGATCACTGGACAGGACACACCAACAGCTTGCTATGTGACAAACCACCTAGCCTCTCTGAGCCTCCCCTTCATCATCTGTCAAATGAGGGAGTTGGCTAACTGGTCTCTAAAATCCCTTGCAAGCTGGGTGTGTTGCCTCACACTTGTAATCTCAGCACTTTGGGAGGCCGAGGCAGGAGAATTGCTCGAGGCTGTCTTGAGGACACTCAAGACAAGACCAGTCTGGGCAACATAGGAAGACCCTGTCTCTATTTAAAAAAAAAAAAAAAAGGGTGTGGCAGCACATGCCATTAGGGCCAGCCATTCAGGAAGCTGAGGTGAGAGGATCACTTGAGCCCAAGAGGCCAAGGCTGCAGTAAGCCATGATTATGCTACTGTACTCCAGCCTGGGCAACAGAGGGAGACCCTGTCTCAATAAAAAAAAGAGAAAGGAAGAAAGGAAGAAAGGAAGAAAGGAAGAAAGGAAGAAAGGAAGAAAGGAAGAAAGGAAGAAAGGAAGAAAGAAAGAAAGAAAGAAAGAAAGAAAGAAAGAAAGAAAGAAAGAGAAAGAAAGAAAAAGAAAGAGAGAGAGAGAGAGAAAGAAAGGAAGGAAGAAAGAGGGAAGGAAGGAAGGAAAGAAGGAAAGAAGGAGAGAAAGAGAAAGAGAGAAAAAGAAAGGGAAGGGAGGGAAGGAAGGGAAGGAAGGGAAGGAAGGAAGGAAGGAAGGAAGGAAGGAAGGAAGGAAGGAAGGAAGGAAGGAAAGGAGGGAGGGAGGGAGGGAAAGAAGGAAAGAAAGAAAAGAAAGACTTTAAAATCCCTTGTAGCTGTAAGCTTGTGATTTTAGGAAGTTGCAGCCTCAATCCAGGCAACTGTCTGAGGCCATTAATTAGGATGTCACTCATAGACCTTAACGAAACTGCTAGGATGCCAACAGAAATTAGCCACATGATCTCCTGTGGTTGGTAACCTTCCTAAGGCCTTCACAGCTGAGGACAGTGTGGGCACGGCTAACTTCAGACTGAGATTCCAATCCAGTAAGGGGAGAAGGGGAAGATAAATGACTCCAGGAACCTTATGTTCCAGGAAAATTCATTTGCATTTTTAAACTGTAGCTACAAAATGCACACAAATATTGATTCAGTTGGAAACTGGACCCTAGGATGCTATTGTCGGGGAGGTGGGACACTCTCCCTTCTCCGTCAGACCCTCCTATGTAGGGGTCGTCTGGCTACCTAAAAGATACATACCCCTCAAATCCCACCAAAAAAATATATGAAAAGGTAAGGAGGAAATGAAGGCTTTGAGGAGCTAAAAAAATGAATTAGGAGTTAGCAAATTCCAGCATGTGTCAAAGGAAAGAGGTCTTCTCTGTAGCAGGGATGGGCGAGGTCAGGGAAGGTTGGAGAACCCAGACTTTGGCTGAGGCAAAGGCTGGCAGTGGTTGGCAACTCAGGAGAGAGTTTGCATAGCATCATCCCCGCTATCAGGCCCAATCCCCAGCTCAGAGCCTACCAGCTTGTGGATGCAGCAGATGGGCAGGGGGCTCGAGCCCTCTCCCTCCCTCCTGGACACAGTCTTGAGGGTGCAGCATGAGTAGAGATAAGCCCCCCTTCTGGCCTCCGGAAGAACAGGTTGTTATTATCTGACTCTGCTAAAGCTGTCTCATTTGTAGCCTAAATAATTCACTCACCAATCTCTCAAGAAGCATTAGGAGAAAAACAAAACCTGACCCAGCCCTCATGCTCAGGTTCCCATTGCACAGAAGGCAGGCCAGGAGGCTGGGAGGCAGTCCCGCACTGCAGAGATGGCCTGCCTTCAAAGGTTCATGGGGTTGGCACCCTTCTGAAAAAAGACCCAGAGTCTGTTTCTGTGCAGCTAAGACTTGAGCTATTAATAAGACTAGCTTTTGCATTTTAAAGACATTTTAAAACAAAATAAAACAAAAAACAACAACAACAAAAACAAAGAATATGCAACAGAGACTGTATGTGAACTGCAAAGCTTGAAATATTTACTATCTGGCCTTTTCCAGAAAAAGCTTGCCAATCCCTTAATCCATCCCCACCCTCCATCCTCCAACCTTAAAGGAGGCAATGATGATCTTTGATCAACTCCCTGACTACCCTACCCCATGAGCCCACCATCTGCAGAGATTCTGAGTTGTGAATTCTGGTATTTACAGTCTAGTAAGAAGCTGGCACCATTGTTCACCCCACTGCCAAAAACAAGAAAATAAACTAGAGTAGGGCGAGAAAGGGGGAATATCAGTCTTGGTTCTACTGTGCGGGGAGGAAGGGAGAAGCTGAGACTCAGCCACAAACTATAATCTGATTTGTTTCTCTGAGGCTCAGAATTCAGCATTGTCCAGGTTGGTCTCTACTGACACTCCCCTCCCTAGGGCCTTGGTGATCTCAATGCCCACAGTCTCAGAGGCTGCAATTCTCTTACTGATGAGATATCTAAGTAGCCCATGCCTCTGAGGCCCTGAAGCCTGTGTATCATCCCTGAGCCATTTAGAGTGTCAGCCTGACTGCACTGACCTTTAATTCTAAACAGAGGTTCTAGCTTTTCACCCCTGCTGCCCGGCAGGGCCCTTTGAAAAGAGAAGACTCTAACCAGTTCTACGTCCCACCTAGAATCTCTCCTGGAGCCAGAGTCTTTGAGAATTATAGCCCAAAGACCCCAGAAGAGACGGGTCAGAGTGGCAAGCCAGCTGAGCCCCAGCTGTAACTGGGTTGAGTGACCTCTGGGTGTCATAAGACCTGCTTGATATTTTGGAGGATGAGAGTAGAGTGGAAACCAGATGGTCCCACATCCCTATGTGTGGATATTCTGGGTTATTTCATACAGGAGAACAGTGACCTTAGTAAAAGTCCCTGCTCTAGCATCTCCCAAGAAAAATGTTGCTGCTGTCTAGCCTGTACTTTGCTGGTTCCAGTAACTTGAGATAAAATTAACACGGGAGGCCTATGTTGGAATCCTATTATTCAGGCTAGTGGAAAATCATCAGTCTTAGAGGTTTGGGAGCCCAGGCTATGAGATCTTGGGCAAACTGCCTCACCTCTCTGGGGCTGTTTCCTCATCTGTTAAAATAAGCAAACAAACAAACAAAAAATCTGAGGTGCTTGGATGGAGGTGATTTGAAAGTCCTGTCCATCCCATACCTAATGAATGGCCCAAACCAGGCCATATCTGTGCCGAAGATTTGCTGGGAAGTTATTTGGCTTTATTTTTACTTTCCTTCCCCAAGTCAATCCAATCCCATCCAAATGAGATACCGCTGGTCTGGGATAAGGGGAGAATGTTTTCCTGCAACATGTTAGCAGCTTGCTGGGGATTCAGAACTGATGCGAAAGAGGGAGGTGGTGGGTGCTGAATGTGACCTCCTGTCTCTATGCCCTGTGGCCACGGGGTATCTGAAGAACTGTGGGAATCTCATTCCCAAACCCCCATCATGCCATAGCATGTGGCCCAGAAGCCACGGTCTGGTATCAAGTACTTTAACCTAAATTATCTAAATTGTCTGTCATCAACTCTCCAATTCAACTGGACATTCCTTAAGGGCAGGAATTGTGTGTTGACCTTCGTATCTCCAGAGAAGCCCAGCTCCACACCAGGTATGTGGTTGCAGATCCATCCATATCTGCTGAGCGGCTTAACTGAAATGCCCCGGAAAGACTGATGCTGCATTTGGCATGAGGCATGTAAGTGAATCCCCATCTTTCCTGGCTGATGACCGGATACCAATCTTCAGTCCATGGCTCAATCAAGCCTTTCTTGTCCAGGCCGTGACCCCCAAGAGCTATCGTGTGACCTGGTGAAGAAGCGATAAGGTAAGGTTAGAGAAGCGAATGCCTATTCCATTCCAGCATGCCAGAGACTACCCAGAATATGCAGGTCACTTAGAGGCCACTGCTGCTGATCCTCTCGCCCTAAAGCAGGCCGGACTGGGAAAGCATGGCCTGGTGACCGATGCAAACATACATCACACAAGCCTCCCCACTGTTTGCTTCAGAGTAGCTACCCAAATTGCAAGCACTTCCTTACAGGCTCCAAACCCACACTTATAACACGGTGACAAATGTCACAAGCTCTGTAGTGGGTCTCATTGTCTTCTGATGTTAAATATACTCAGAATGGCTGTCCCTCATCCCTGCCTACAGACAGAAAGAAGATGCTCTACTTTAGAGCCAGTCAAACTTTTTCTTGCTGTAGCTCCTTTTGTTCTGTGCTCTGTGAAAATGGTTGCTGTCTTCAGAAGCTGAAAGTTGTCTTTTTTTTTTTTTTTGAGAAGGAGTCTCACTCTGTCGCCCAGGCTGGAGTGCAGTGGCATGATCTCTGCTTACCACAACCTCTGCCTCCCAGGTTCGAGTGATTCTCCTGCCTCAGCCTCCCAAGTAGCTGGGATTACAGGCACGTGGCACCATGCCCAGCTAATTTTTGTATTTTTAGTAGAGACGGGGGTTTCACCATGTTGGCCAGGTTGGTCTTGAACTCCTGACTTCTTGATTCACCCTCCTTAGCCTCCCAAAGAGCTGGGATTACAGGCGTGAGCCACTGCACCCGGCCCTCCTTCTCTATTTTCTTCTGTGTTTGCTTGTTTGCTGCGTGTGGTGGCAGGGAGGGAAAGCCAAAGGCAGAGCCCTGGCTCGCTCCGTAGTGTCACTCTTCTGTACCAATGGTGATGACAGAGCAATGCAGCTGATTAACCATGACACACATGGAGCTGCTAACGAGTTTGATAAAAATTTAATTACCCCTTGTTCTGTGGGGCAGGCAGCAAACCATGAGAGTAATAATCCTCTTGGGTGCTGTGAGAGTAGACAGAGAAATCTGACTAGAGGAGGGTAGGTATGAACTGTAGGGAGTCAACAACAGTGAGAATGGGGTGGAGGTGGGGGACGGTCATGGCAGAGGTGAGTGGCAGAGTGGCTACTGTACCTGGAGTTCAGGTAGAAGTAGCAATTCCTCCCTCAATTATCTAGAAAATTTTTCCCATTCTCTATTATGCTTTTATAGGCCTGATATTTTCTGGAGGCAAACTAATTCCAGGCAGAGAAGAGGAAACCAGGGTATATGCACATCAAGAATCTTCCCAGCACACACTGGATTTCAAGTCCTGACCCCCCTAACTCCAGTCCCAGTGAGAACAGACCTAGGAGGACTGTCTGTGAATTTCATGGTTCACGATCTCACCTTGGGACACTGACATCCTAGACCTCCAAGGCTCCTGTGCCCCCTTTTCTGCCCCTGGTAGAGGGGGAAGGGGAGGGTGGGATGAGGTGCCCACCCAGGGTACCTTGGTGGTTTTGACTTTGTGTCCACTGCTGCAGCTCCATCCCGACAGGTCCGGGAGCACCTTACACTCCTCCCCCGGCAGGCAGGGCTCCATCTGACACCACCATCTCTGCAGGACGATGGAGGCTGTGGGAGCAGGAGGCGGAGTGCAGCTCTAGGGTCTCTCTGAGCACAGTGGGCAGCCAAGAGCAGGTCTGCGAATGAGGTGCACGTTTCCACACACCCCTGGCCTTGAGGCATGCATTTCCCTCGTCTTTCCCCTACTCCAGGCTGCCTAGAGAGGCAGTACTCAGGCTGAGGTCTGGGGACATAAACCCCAACTTTAATCCCACCAATCCCTGAATCTCCCCAGACAGTGAGGGGCGAAGGCAGGCAAAAGTGACTCTAAGGTGACCATGTCACTACCATAGATGCACAACCAGTATACTCCCTCTGTGGTGTGTGAGCAAGGGTGTGAGTCGTCTGGAGGGGTCTACAGACCAGGAGTGCATAGCTGGCATAGCTGGTATGCGCATGACACAGTGGGCCATGCATGTATGGGGTGCCAAATGAGTGTGAGCGTATGAGTGTGGGTGTGAAGGATCACATGTGTCCACACAGGAAAGTGTGAGAGGAGGGCTGAGAAGGAGAGGAGGGTACACGGAGGTGGCCAGGGAAAGGAGCAGCAGGGGAAGGAGCTGGAGGAAGTGTGTGGACAGAGGAGTGGGGCTGTGTGAGGGAACGCGCCTGTGTGTGCACCAGGCAGAGGGCACGCGAGTGTGGGAGGCTGCGCGCATAACGAGAGTTTTTTTCATCTATGACACAGGGATGGCCACATCTGCCCTCTTCTCCCAGAGGGGGCCCCACCATTTGAGACTAATCATGAAAGCCCTGAGACGGGTATGAAATTGTATCCCCAGCAGATGGCGAGGCCTGAACAGGCCTCCTTATGGCTCGGCTCAGGGCCCTGCCCGGGTCCTGGCCTCTCACTCACCGTCCACGCAGGAGGGCTTTGCCCGCGTGGTGCCGGCCACCTGGCCAGAAAAACAGGAGCATTTCACCGTCTGGGAGCGCTCCTCGATGCGGTTTCGGTTGCAGCAGCGGTGAGCCGCAATCACCTCGCAGGTGCCCTGCTGCACAAGCACTGAGGGGAGCCGCCCAGGATCAGACGCCCAACACGCCCGACCCGCTCCCTCCCGCCACCCGGGCTGGCCTCCAGCCCCTCTTTCCTGCTTCAAGGAGGGCTATGGAAGAATGGAAGAGATGGCCAGTGGCGGGGGAGGAGGAAGTGGATGAAATCTTCCGGCCGCTTCACAGAGCTCCTACTCTTCCTCCCTCCCCGGTGAGACCGTGCTCTTCACCCTTTGGCAGAGCACGGCCTCTGGGCAGAAGACAGAGTCCCGCACCAGCCCCGCCTCCCCAGCTTCCTCAGGGTGAGGGCAAGGGCCCCAGGGCTTACAATGCGTGGGGAGGATCATCCGCTTACACAGGCTTTAGCCATCCCAGAAGGAAAACCACAGAATTAGGCCAGGAGGCTAGAGTTAAGCCCCCGCCCGAGGGCCTCTCTCACTACAGAACACCTTCCAGCCTGGAAGGAGAGGTGAGCAAAGGGTCTGCCCAGACCTTCTCTGGGGCAGGACAGCAGGGATGGGCAGAGTTCCCTGGGTAAAGAGCAGAGGAGGAACCGGAACCCCTAGAATCTCTGGATTTTACTCTGCCTCGGAGACCTGCCTGCTATGGAATACGGTGGAGTGGTGTCCAGCTCCCCAGGTGTCCTGGGAAACTCCCTCCCTGGGCCCTGCCACCTCCTCCAAACCTGTAGCAGTGGGAGGCTGCAAGGCAGCCAAGGTCAGGCGGGTCCACAGCCAGGTCAGGCACAGTGCCAGCAGCCAGCCGCCTGTGCTCCAGTTCCGCGCAACCCTCTCACTCATCCTGTGGAGAGAAGCACACATTCTGCTCAGCTCCAGGCAGAAGCTCCCCTGTGCCCAGCCTGGGCACCTTCTCTGTGCCACACACTCTGGGAGGCACAAAGATGGGGAGGAGGCACACCTTGTCCCCAGGCATCTTTCAACCTGGCGCAGAGTCATGCAGGCAGTAATGAGTGCTACAGGAAGAGAAGGAGAGCCTTTGGAGGAGACGACATTTAAGACGCATCTTGGAGGATGAACTAGATATGGGCCCATGGAGGGCTGTGACATGGGAGGGACTATCATGCTGACTCCTACTCTTTGAGTGCTTGGTTCCAGCACTTCACATGCACACTCTTGAATTCTTCACAACTGTCCTACAAAGTAAGATTATTATTACCTGTTTTACAGATGAGCAAACCAAAGCTCAAAAAGCTGGGACATAACCTAAACAACCATCATTAAAAGACTGGCTGAATACATCATAAAGAGTCTGTACAAATGCAGTCCCATCCAGATAGCTGTAAAAAAACCAATGGGGAAATGCTTTATGTCCTGACACATGCAATGATCTCCAGTGATAATCCACTGTTAAGGGGGGAAAAAAAAGCAAAGTGTAGAATGGTGTGTATACAATGTGTATAAGACAGGCCAGGAGTGGTGGTTCACGCCTCTAATTCCAGCACTTTAGGAGGCCAGGGCAGGAGGATCACTTGAGGCCAGAAGTTCGAGACCAGCCTAGGCAACATAGCAAGACCCCATCTCTACAAAAAATTTAAAAATTAGTCAGGCATGGTGGTGCACACCTATTGTCCCGGCTACTCCAGAGGCTGAAGTGAGAGGATTGCTTGAGCCCAGGAGTTTGAGGCTGCAGTGATCTATGTCTGAGATACTGCAATCCAGCCTGGGCAACAGAGTGAGACCCCAGCTCAAAAATAAATATAATAAAATGTGTATAAAGAAAGGATTATCTATGTTGCTCAGATATGCATAAACTAGCTTTCAAAAATGTGTTTTAAAACTAGTGGCCGGGCACGGTGGCTCAAGCCTGTAATCCCAGCACTTTGGGAGGCCGAGACGGGCGGATCACGAGGTCAGGAGATCGAGACCATCCTGGCTAATACGGTGAAACCCCGTCTCTACTAAAAAATACAAAAAAACTAGCCGGGCAAGGTGGCGGGCGCCTGTAGTCCCAGCTACTCAGGAGGCTGAGGCAGGAGAATGGCGTAAACCTGGGAGGAGGAGCTTGCAGTGAGCTGAGATCCGGCCACTGCACTCCAGCCTGGGCGACAGAGCGAGACTCCGTCTCAAAAAAAAAAAAAAAAAAAAAAAAAATTATTTGCCATCAAAAAGGGAAACTGGTTGGCTGGGAGATGGAGGTAGAAGAGAGGCATTTTTCTCCTGATTTATTTCTTGCTTTTTGAGCTTCCAACCACGAGAATGCAGTAGCACTTCAATTTAAACAGAATTTAAATTTAAAAAGGAAGAGATGAAACCAAGGCTAATAGAAGTTAAATGACTTGCCCAAGGCCAGGCAGCATGTGGGTGGAAGAGTCCAGAGCCTAGAAGCCTGCCCTCTGCCCACTGTACCACCTTGCCTCTGCTCGCTTCCCCTTTCCTTTTCCTCTTTCATCGTTGATGGTTTGGGCCTCCCAAAGCTACCCCGAAGGGCAGGCTGGAAATGGAGGGAATCCTAAGGAAGCAAGAGGCACAGAGTAGCTAGGAGCTGCCCAGTCATAGAAGGGGGTGGGAACAGTACCAGGAGGCAGCAAGGCCACAAGCTCAGGGGTGGGCCTGGAGCACTACTGGGCCCCCACTAGTGCCAGTGCAGCTTTGGGAATACCAGAGGCCAAACCAACTGCCAGGACCCAGTTGCTCGATGGATAGGGTACTTGATCTCTGTCCACCCCCGCTACTCTCCATCTTCAATGTCTCCTCACTCACCTTTTTGGGGATCTTTCAGTTTCTGTCTGTTCATCTGCTGGCCTCAGACTCACTCCACCTGGACAAGTAGGAAAGATTCTTAGGGGGTTGCAAAGGATAGAGGGAGCCCATGGCTCTGCAGGGGGTGAAGGAGAACCTGGGAGAGGGCAAGGGGGTGGGCTGGGCACTGAAGTTCAGCCCAATTCTGAAGCTGTTCTCAGGTGCCAGGGCAGGGACAGTCTCTTCTAGCCTGGGAATCTGGAGGGGACCTTGCAGACTCTGGGATCACACAGGGTGGTGAACCTGAGAAGGGTGGCCTGAGGGAGTTTCTCTATCCCAAGAGTGAAGCAGGGTGATGGTAGGAAGGAGTCTAAGAATCACGGCTGTCATCTCTCTGGCCTTGGGAGGGAGCTGAGGGTCAAGGAAGGAGCAGAATCTGACAGATTCCCGCTGGAAGAGGCACGTGGGAAAGAGTCCTGAGGCCCTGATCCTCTCTGCTTCCACCTCCTACCCACTATGGCCCCTGCTTCCTGGACTCACATGGAGCTGGCTTGGCTTAGCCATCCTCGCCCCCATTCCCACTCCAGAGGACTAGAATGGGGACACTTCAGGTCCCTGAGCCTTTGAAGGCCACAGCCTCCAATAGCTTTCCATGTCTCCCTAAGAACCTCTCTTCCCTCACCGCTCTAAAGGGAGGCAGAACTGAAACATATAGGATGGTGGGGTCCCATAAGGACAGAGACCCCTGAGTCCTAGCTCCCAGGAGTGAGAGCATAAGAGGGATCTGGAGGAAGACAGAGGAAGAGGTGCCAACTCCCAGGGGATGGGTGTGCTCCGTGGGCTGAGCTTCCCACCCTTCTAGATGTGCCTCTTTTCTGAGTAGGCATCTCTTCTCCCTGCCCTCTAGGAACCCTCCTTTTGACCATCACAAATGCAGCTTTGTCTTCTCTCAGGTGATCCTATTTCCCTCTGAGCTGCAACATCCTCCAGTCCAACTCAGGCATCTCCCCTAGGAGCCCCAAGGCCCCAAAGACCTCGGTGGGATGGGCAGCAGAGGGGTGGGGGGTGTTCATTTGGGCTCTCATCCCTGGCATTCTATTCCCTCCCCCCACCCTGGAAACAGCCGGACATAGAAGCTTCTGGGATTTGTTTTTCGACTTCCATGCTCCTGCCTCAGTTTCCTAGCCTATTTTTCCTAAACCCCAATCCAGGGGTTTAGTGAGGCTGAGTTAACAGCCTGCATTATAAGGGTTTGAGGATGTGAACCACAAGAACCTTCAACCTTTCTTCACCTTCTCTCCCCACAAACCCCCCTAACGCCTACTCATTCCTCCACATTGTGAGCCCCACACCTGGGACCTACCTGGTCCACGGTGGTGCCCACTGGTTCGACCTGCTGGCCTGAAGTCTTCCTTGCCCCTGAGCCAGGGACCAACACTCCAAAAGACAGACTTTGGGAGGGAGCGGCCAGCTTGGGTGCTGTCTAGTCTGGAGCCCCGTCCCCTTCACCAAGTTGCTGCGCCCCGGGACAGCGGGGTTCTGGTCAGGCAGGTTGGCATCATCCGCAGGGCGGGCCCGGCTCTGGGCACAGGGGAGCTCCGGGCCCGGCCCGCCAGCTCTGCAGAACTCAGCCGGGTTTTTTCCAAGGTTCCTGCCGGCAGGCTGGGGAGCGCGCAGCCGCCGCCGCAACCGCCGCCTCGCCCCGGGCTATCCCGGCTCCTCCAGTCCGGCGTGGGCGCCGCCGCCTCCTTCGGGACAGCGCCAGGCGCTCGGCTGAGCGGATGGGCACAGCCGGGACGCAGCGGCCCCTGGCGGCCGAGGGCAAGAGGAAGGGAGAGAGGACATCCGGCCCCCGCAAGTTCAGTGCGGTTGGACACCTCCCTGGTGCAGGCCAGGCAACTCAGAGGAGGTCCCTCAAAACCCTCAAGGTCTCGTGGCCCTCCCCTGGCTCAGGGGAGCTGGAGGTGCTGGGGGAAAAGGAGCTGGGAGTGACGAGTGATTGACTATACCCTCAGGGTTTTTGAGCTTTGAAGATTGCAGAACTGCATTGTCCAAGACTGTAGCCACTAGTGGCATATTGATATTTAAATTTAAATCTAAATTAATTAAATAAAACTCAAAATTCAGTTCCTCATTAGCATGCACCATATTTCAAATGCTCAATAGCCACACGAAGATAGGGACTGCTGTATTGGACAGAGCAGATGTAGAACATTCCCGTCAATGCGCAAAGTTCTGTTCGACAGCACTCTTCTAGATTGATATTTAGGAGGGATAGTGAATATCTCTTCCTCTCCCAGGAGTGGTGCTCTCAGGGGCTGGGAGGGCTAGAGGAAGTATAAGGGCGTGGGCATTAGGCAGGAGGACAGTAGTAGGCTATGAATGGTCCCTATGGATGATAACTGTGAATACCAACATGGGAACTAAACTCTGAGACCTAGTTTCTTGTTTCCCTTCCTTCCTTTCTTCCTTCCTTCCTTCCTACTTTCCTTCTTTCCTTCCTTCTTTCCTTCCTTCCTTCTTTCATTCTTTTTCCTTTCTTTTTTATTTTTATTTTTTGTGGGGGGCCAGGGTCTCATCACTCTGTCACCCAGATCTTGGTTCATTGTAATCTCCACCTCCTGGGCTCAAATGATTCTCCCATGTCATCCTACTGAGTAGCTGGGACTATAGGCGTAGTCTGTAGTGCACTACCAAGCCAGGGTTTATTTTTTGTATTTTTTGTAGAGACAGGGTTTTGCTATGTTGCCCAGGCTGGTCTTGAACTCCTGGACTCAACTGATCCATCCACCATGGCCTCCCAAAGTGCTGGGATTACAGGCGTGAGCCACGACTCCTGGCCTGAGACCCAGTTTCTTTATCAGAAAAATTGTAATGTAATTAATTGCAACTGAATAATTCTTTACAGGGATCTATTCTGGATGCGAAAGTATTAGACAAATGAGAGGGAGTTGTGTTCTGTGAATTGGAAGGAACTTTCCTCTTAGTTTAAGAGGCCTTTGGGTTTGGGGTGATGTGAAGGGGAGAGACAAGACAGAAGATGACCAGTTCTGGGCCCTGAGCCACCAACGTGGCCTGAGATAAAGGGGCCTGTCTTGAGGCTGTCCAGTCCCCCTCCTTGGCTCAAGCTTCACGCTCCCCCGGCAGGGCCAGTCACTGAGCAGAGTCTCGCTCTTCACAGAGAAAAACATCCCACAAGTCTGCTTCTTCGTACCCCACCCCCTTTTCCCTCTCACTTTCCGCTGCCTGAGGGATGAGTAGAGGTGATAACCTCACCAGGTTCTGGGACAGTCTGAGGATGGAGGAGGCATAATGATGTCAGGAATAGGAGGTGAGAGGTTCAGAGAGAGGGGAGCCTTAGGATGAGGCCATGGCTGGGGGCTGTTCTGGAGCTGCAGGGAGCTGTCATCCCCTGCTGGTCATCTGGTGCTGGGGCTGGGGGGTCTCTGGGCTTACCTCTGCGGACCTCTTGCAGCCACACCATGGTGCTAGAAAGGGCAGGGAATAGGAAGCTGGGTGACACCAAGAAGCGGTAAGTAAACTGTCCCAGAAACACTGAATAATAAAAAACAACCAGGAGTTATATTTGTTTCTTCAGTTGCTGGCTTGCTGCTGCTGTTATTTATCTGAGAGTTGGTTTCAGTTTTTCTCAAATAGCAGGGGAAAACCTATAGAAGCAGGTTGTTCTTTGTCCCTGTCTGCCTTTGCTGCTCTGTTTGCCTTGGGGTCTGTTTTTTGTTTTTTTTTTCTCTCCTGTGACTTCTTTTCCTCTGGCTGTCTGCCCAAAGCTCAGGTGCAACATAGCAGGCACAGTAAGTCTACCAACCTGAATGACCACTGTGGGATCTTTATTTGGAAGATGCCAAGAAAGTCATCCCTTCTGGGGACACAGTTTAGCCTGGGGAACAGAGTGGGATGTGGTCAGGAAACACATGGCCGACAGAGCCCAGAAAAGTTCCAGCCGTGAACTGGGTGTAGTAGTCCCTAATGGCTACCTCCAACTTTCACGATGGCCACAACAGCCTTGTCCCCATTTGAGATGTGTGGGTGGGTGGTGTCTGTGGATACCCAGTGATCAACTTTCTGATAGGAGATTTAGAGACAGAGCTCTTGTGGCATCAGGTCAGTATCACCCTCTCCTAGAGGGGAGAAATTAGGAAGAACAGGCAGCCAACCAGTCGCTGGGCTCGGTCCTGGTCTTCCAGCGAGTGGGCTTTTACTCTTCTTAGACAAAGGCTTAGCCTGGCCTCTGTCTCCCCCTGGCGGCAGACATAGAACTTGCTTAGCATTCCCGGACAGCTCTCAGCCCTGGCCCTAAGAGAAGGATGGGAGGGGAGGAACCCCCACTCCTCTCTCTGCCATTGATCTCTTTTCTAGCCCTTCCTCCCTGATCCGGAGAACTAAGCTTGCTTCTTAAGACAGAGCAGGTTTGAATGGCAGGAGGCAGACATAGGTGTGAATCTTTCACTGACTGTGTGACCTCTTGGGGCAAGTCACGGTAAAATGACAAGAAGCGTCCGGTCCTGCCTCATCCATGAAACTGATAGAAAAAAACCCACCTTGAAGGATTGGTGTGCAGGATAAATAACCTAATAATGTATGGAACGTGCTTTATAAAGAGCCTAGTAGGCAATACGTCTTCAACAAATAGTATTTGTTATGTTGTTTTTATCCTATTAATAGCTAGTCCTGCTGTGATCAGGGAAGGTCTACATTGTGGGAAAGACCTGGGTTCTGAGAGAGAAAGGAGGGTGGGAGTGGCACCCTCTAGATCCCTCTAGAGGGATCTAGAGGTGGTCTTCATGGGGAACAGCGCATCAGGAGCCCAGGAATCTACCCCGGCTCCTGATTCCGGGGTGGTCGGCTGCAGCCTGGTTATTATCCCCGCACCCCCACCCGGTACCAGCTTGCCCGCTCTCGCTCCAGCAGCCCCATCCAGAGGTGGTGTCACACCTGGCGCCTCATACCAGCGGCTCCGAAGCTCCTATTTTGCTCTGAGGTCATTAGCTCCATGGCTCTCTGGGCAGGCTGGCCACACCGAACCAAGAGCGAGGAGACCGCACCCCCTTGTCCCTCAGCCCCTGTCACAATGGAGACGTTCTAGCTGATGTCTAATCTAGCGCACGGCTGAAATAAGGTTTCCTTCTCTCCGCCCCCTTCCCACAGCAACAGAACCTACCCCTAAGAAACGGAGGCGGGGCCAAGCCGAAATGGGGCGGGGCAGAGGCCGGGGGTCCGTGCGCCCGTTCCTGGGGTGGCCCAGAGCAAGGGCAAGTTTCGCCCGGGACCCGCCCAGCTGGCCGGGAGCCAGTAGCCGGGAAGGGCCGGCTGGCGCGAGCACCGCCCACCCCGAGTCCTGGGGGCGGGGCCTGGGCGGGGGCGGGGCCGCGGCCGAGGGCGGGGCAGGGAGGCAGCATGCTAAACCGGGTGCGCTCGGCCGTGGCGCACCTGGTGAGCTCTGGGGGCGCTCCGCCTCCGCGCCCCAAATCCCCGGACCTGCCCAACGCCACCTCGGCGCCGCCCGCTGCCGCTCCAGAAGCGCCCAGGAGCCCTCCTGCGAAGGCTGGGAGCGGGAGCGCGACGCCCGCGAAGGCTGTTGAGACTCGAGCGAGCTTCTCCAGACCGACCTTTCTGCAGCTGAGCCCCGGGGGGCTGCGACGCGCGGATGACCACGCGGGCCGGGCTGTGCAAAGCCCCCCGGACACGGGCCGCCGCCTGCCCTGGAGCACAGGCTACGCCGAGTGAGCGCCCCCTGGGGCACCCAAACCAGGATGGGACTCCCACCCCTCTCCCCAGCTCTGCATCCCCGGCGCTAGGACGCGTTCCCCACGCCGCGTCCAGGCCAGGAGCTCCCTTTTCCCAGGACCTTTGCTATCCTCTGGTCTTCGTGCCGCACCCCCTCCCAGCCCACTTTCCAGTCGGGCGCAGCCTATGTCACCTTCTTCAGGTCCTTCCCGCTCATTGACTGCCCTCGCTCACGCTGCCTCAGGACCTGTTCTCCCCCAGAGCCCGGAGGGCGGAGGGCCCTGCGAAGGATGAGTTGGCCAGTTCCCAGTGGCGGCCCGGCAGCTTAAAGGCTAGGGGAGAAGGGGTTTCACGAAGGAGCGGGGTTCTTTTTATTAGGGGACATAGCGGTTGGGAAGATTCGCTCACCCGCTTCCCGGCTCCAGCGCCCCAGTTCCCTGTCCCTCTTACCGTAGTTCCCCTCCCCCTCCACGCCCAGAAATAGCCCGCGACACCAGCAGGCCGTCAGCTTCCCCAGGGGCGGGGAACTGGGGAAGCGGGGAGGGGACGCCCGGGGTAGAGGAGGGTCCCATTTAGATGCCTCTCAGCCTGCCAACTCGTGCTAGCCTGGCAAAGAAGCGGACCCCCTGGCCGGACCGGCCGGCTTGCCCCCAGGCTGTGTGTATTTTTAATACATCTGTCGGGAACGCAGAGCACCGAGGGAGCTGGGGGCGCTGAGTTCGCTGAGGAAGGTGGCTGGTGGCCCATGGACCCACCACCACCTCCCTTAGCCTCCGGTGTGGGAGGAGCTTGTGGGTATGTGGTTTCTGCCCAGTCCAGGTGGGCTTCCACTTCTACTCTATTTCAATTCCTCTTTCCCGATCTGGGCTGGAGAACTTCCTCATTGTCAAGGCAGCAGAAACTTTCGCTGGATGGTTTTAGGATAAGGGTGGGTGTGCCCATGAGGATGAGGTGCTGGGGACAAGGCACTGGCAGAGTTGATAGTGGTTGAGGGTGAGATGTAGGGTGTAGCTAGCAGGGAAATAAAACTTCTGCTACCATCTAGCCCCTCCCCCAGAAGCACCACTAGGAATGCCTTTCATTTTCTTTTTTCTTTTTTGCCAGGGATGGGGGAAGTGAGGCAGGCAGGGGACATAGGGGTTGGCCAGAAGCTCCTGCTGGCCTTTCTGTGAGGTGGTAGGGCCGGCCACCCAAACAGTACTCCTTGCACCTTGCCAGCCCTCCCTTCTCCTCCTCCCTCTGGCCTGGATCCCAGGTGGCTGTGACCTTTCTCAGCTTGGCCAGCAGGCACAGGAGACGGTGTGTGTCTAAGGTGGGGGTTATTCCAGGACCTGGTCTGGTTTCCAACCTGATGTGGTCATTCTGGCCTGGCAGGGTCATCAATGCTGGCAAGAGTCGGCACAATGAGGACCAGGCTTGCTGTGAAGTGGTGTATGTGGAAGGTCGGAGGAGTGTTACAGGGGCACCTAGGGAGCTTAGCCGAGGCCAGGTAAGCCCGGATCCCCTTTCCGAGACTCCAGAGACACAGTGACACCTCTCCCCAGGGACTCAGGCCTCTGGTTTTAAATCTGAGCCATGTGGAAGACCTGACTAAATCACTGGCTTTCTACCTTCTGGCACAGAACCTTTACCTGGCATTCATCAGTTAGATTCCACCATGTAAGCATGCATGTTACTTTCCCACCTAAAATGTAGAGGCTCACATATTTATGGATGATTTAATTGCCACTGCTGAGTTTTGGATCTGTTATCCTCTGAGTTTGGCTTTTTGAGCCTTTGCTTTCTCTTGATACATAGGAAGCCTTATGTGAATAAGTGAATAAACCTAATTTGCCTTCAGTAGCAAATACTGACTTCTCAGATGTTTGTATGGATGCCCAGAGTCTCGTTCTTCTCCTGGCATCACACACACACACACACACACACACACACACACACACACACACACACACACACAAAACAAACAAACACAACTCACCTCCAACTTTTCCTCCACCAGGGACTCTGCTTCTACTACTGGGGCCTATTTGATGGTCACGCAGGGGGTGGAGCTGCTGAAATGGCCTCACGGCTCCTGCATCGCCATATCCGAGAGCAGCTAAAGGACCTGGTAGAGATACTTCAGGACCCTTCGCCACCACCCCTCTGCCTCCCGACCACCCCGGGGACCCCAGATTCCTCCGATCCCTCTCACTTGCTTGGCCCTCAGTCCTGCTGGTCTTCACAGAAGGAAGTGACCCACGAGAGCCTGGTAGTGGGGGCCATTGAGAATGCCTTCCAGCTCATGGTGAGTGGGTGACCTGGGCCAAGGGTCTGCTAGGCAACCACTCTGGCCAACTCTGTGTGGAAGCCAGGTGGCCTAAGGGGGTTACGCTGAGAACCCACAACACCTTTGAGAGCCTGAGCAGAGCTTGGTTCAGAGGGGAGGGAGAAGGGGCAGTTATGCCCCAGTCTTCCCTCCTGTCTTCCAGTGTAGCCTGGCTGGGCCCGTTGATTCCTACAGGTGGAGGGGGTAGGGGGAGGGTGACTGTATGCCTGGAACCTCTCCTTCTACCCACCTCTGACCCTTCCTTGTGTGGCAGGATGAGCAGATGGCCCGGGAGCGGCGTGGCCACCAAGTGGAGGGGGGCTGCTGTGCACTGGTTGTGGTCTACCTGCTAGGCAAGGTGTACGTGGCCAATGCAGGCGATAGCAGGTATGGGGGAGGGGGCTCTGAGAGTGGCTACAGAGGGCCACACTCTCTGGGATGGGGGAATACAGGAGAGTGAGGTGGCAGGGGCTAAAAATCAAGACTAGAGGGAGTCAAGAGGGGTGACAGACATAAGGAGTGGCCTGAAATAGCCATTGGGTGGGGTCGGGGGCAGATATGGGGGTCTGGGTAAGGAATCTGAAAGGTCATTATGGAGAGAGTCTGATCTTTCTGGAATTTTTCATGAATGGGTCTGAAGAGAACCAGGTCCCAATTCCTTTTCTTTCTTTGGGCAGGGCCATCATTGTCCGGAATGGTGAAATCATTCCAATGTCCCGAGAGTTTACCCCGGAGACTGAGCGCCAGCGTCTTCAGCTGCTTGTAAGTAGGAACCAAACTCCCTACCCTCATTCTTTGTCGGGTCTTGTGCCTCCCTGCACCCCATGGACCTGAGAACTCTCACACCCCCACCACAGGCACAGAAAGCACCTTACTGGGAAGGCCGCTGTGTGGACTATGAAGTGCGGGGCTGAGCCGGTGGGAGGCTGCAGTACTGGGTTGATCCAGTGCTCCCACTGTGGCCCCAGCGGAGGCTGGAAGTAGAGACTGAGGTGGGGGAAGGGAACAGCAAAGGCCCCTGAGAGGCAGTACGGCTTAGTGCCTAAACGTAGGTGGCTGTGGAGCTGGAAGCCCAGGATGCATCCTGGTCTGAGTGCTTTGCTAATTGTGTGACCTCAGCAATTCCCTCCCTTAACCTCTGTGCATCAATAGTTCCTGCCTTAAGGGCTATTGTGAGGAGTAAATGAGTTAATACTGCTAATATTAGAATAATGTGTGGCACATGGTAAACTCTATTTAAGGGTCTGCTGTAGTTAATGTCATCTATATACCAGCGTGTGCTGTGAGCATAATGCTCCCTGGCTCTCTATTCTGATCATCCCTAACTCTAGGGCTTCCTGAAACCAGAGCTGCTAGGCAGTGAATTCACCCACCTTGAGTTCCCCCGCAGAGTTCTGCCCAAGGAGCTGGGGCAGAGGATGTTGTACCGGGACCAGAACATGACCGGCTGGTAACACTTCCCTCAGAGCTGGGGCCCGTTCCCATGGCAACACAACCAGCCCCTCGCCCGCAGCAAGGTGGAAGCTGGAGGCTGGGAGTTGGGAGGATGTGGCCTTTCTATAAGGGGTTTGTGTGAGGGTGCGCAGCTCCTAGGGGAGAGGGACTTTGATGCCTGGGTGATGCCTCCTCTACTCCCCCCTCCCCAGGGCCTACAAAAAGATCGAGCTGGAGGATCTCAGGTTTCCTCTGGTCTGTGGGGAGGGCAAAAAGGTAAACTCCATGGTAGAGGTGGGAGAGGGCAGGAGGACCTGTCACAACTTGTCTAGGGAGGTGGAGGTTCTACCTGAGGGTAGGGGTGGAAGGGATCTTTGGTTTCAGAGAATCTGGCAGAGGACTAGAGTGGCACTCCCTCCTCATTTCTTTCAGGCTCGGGTGATGGCCACCATTGGGGTGACCCGAGGCTTGGGAGACCACAATCTTAAGGTCTGCAGTTCCACCCTGCCCATCAAGCCTTTTCTCTCCTGCTTCCCTGAGGTGAGCCATATGGTGGTCCCCCTTAAACCACCTCTTGCCTTCTCTGGGGGTCTCAGGCCAGCTTTCATCTGCAGTCCCTTTGTCCCCAGGCTCCCTGTCCAGCAAACCCCACACCTCAATCCTCTCCGCCCTTTTCTCCCACCAGGTACGAGTATATGACCTGACGCAATATGAGCATTGCCCAGATGATGTACTAGTCCTGGGAACAGATGGCCTGTGGGATGTCACTACTGACTATGAGGTGGCTGCCACTGTGGACAGGGTGCTGTCGGCCTATGAGCCCAATGACCATAGCAGGTAGGGGCTGCATGGCATGGTGGTAAGGGGATGGCACTGGTGAAGGAAGGGTCAAAGGGAAGCAATGCTTGGGACCCCACATGTGGGCCTGTGTATCTGTCTTCCCACATACATGTTGGTACATGAATGTGCATGTGTGCTTCTGGCAGGTATACAGCTCTGGCCCAAGCTCTGGTCCTGGGGGCCCGGGGTACCCCCCGGGACCGTGGCTGGCGTCTCCCCAACAACAAGCTGGGTTCCGGGGATGACATCTCTGTCTTCGTCATCCCCCTGGGAGGGCCAGGCAGTTACTCCTGAGGGGCTGAACATCATCCCTCCCACCACCATCCCAGCCTCTCCATACTTACTCTTCTCACAGCCCAAATTCTGAAGTTGTCTCCCTGACCCTTCTTTAGTGGCAGCTTAACTGAAGAAGGGATGCCTGCTATATCCAAAATTATAGCTATTGGCAAATAAACCAGATGGATAAAGGTGTGTGTCTTTATTTGCTTTGACTAGAAACTGAAAGATAAGAAGAAAGCTCTGTGGGGTGGTGGAAAGAGCACCAGAACAGTTCTAGAAATGTGGTATTCCCCAGGTTCTTTATTCCGCCCGCCACTCTTTCCACTCCACGCATTTGCTGTGAGTGTCACTGGCCACTTCTGTGGCTTCACCCATCTGCCCAGACCCTTCCTGAGCTTTAGATCCACACATTCCAGTCATCTCCTGGACAGCCCGCTGGCACTTCAATTCAAATACCTCAAACTAAATTCACCACTGCCCTCCATAACATGTTCCTTCTCCTGGTATATCCCCTCAATGTGCACCAGCTCTGCTGCTCCAGTTAGAAATCCTGGAGTTGGTCACCCTTTGCTTTCATTTCTTTCCCATCAAGGTAATTGATCACTAAGTATTGTTGACTATAGACCTTTAAAAATATTTCTCTACTTGTCTCCACCTCTCTCTGCCTTCAGTCACCACCACCTTTTACTATATTGGCCTCCTACATTTAGTGGCTCCTTACTGCGCCTAGAACAAAATCAACACTCAACTCCTGTGCATGGCATATAAGGACCTTCATGATCCAGCCACTGCTTCCTTCTCCAGCCTCATTTTTCACCACCACCACCACCTTCCTGGGGTTTGCATAACTGTGGGCTTTTAGTAGCTCCAACTTATCCAACATCTACTGCCGGGCATGGTGGTTCACACCTGTAATCCCAACACTTTGGGAGGCAGAGGTGAGAGGACTGCTTAAGCCCAGGAGTTTAAGACCACCCTGGGCAATAGTGAGACCCCATCTCTACAGAAAAATAAAAAAATAGCTGAATGCAGTGGTGAGTGCCTGTGGGAAGCAGTTAAGCATCCAAGGAAATTAAGAGTATTGCTTATAGTAGAAAAGAATAAAGATCTCAAATCAGTGATCTGTTTCCACCTCAAGAGGCTAGAAAAAGAACAGCAAATTAAACCCAAAGTAAGCTAAGGGAAGCAAAAATAAAGATGAGCAAAATAATTAGAAAAGGCCTGTCACCAGCCTGGGCAATATAGCAAGACCCCATCTGTACAAAAAATACAAAAATTAGGTGTGGTGGTACACGCCTCTAGTCCCAGCTACTGGGGAAGCTGAAGTGGGAGAATCACTTGAGCCCAGAAAGTTGAGGCTGCAGTGAGCTGAGATTTTGCCCTGCACACTTGGACAACAGAGATCTTGTCTCAAAAAAAAAAAAAAGGCCGGGCGCAGTGGCTCAAGCCTTTAATCCCAGCACTTTGGGAGGCCGAGACGGGCGGATCACGAGGTCAGGAGATTGAGACCATCCTGGCTAACACGGTGAAACCCCGTCTCTACTAAAAAATACAAAAAACTAGCCGGGCGAGGTGGCGGGCACCTGTAGTCCCAGCTACTCGGGAGGCTGAGGCAGGAGAATGGCGTAAACCCGGAAGGCGGAGCTTGCAGCGAGCTGAGATCCGGCCACTGCACTCCAGCCTGGGCCACAGAGCGAGACTCCGTCTCAAAAAAAAAAAAAAAAAAAAAAGAAAAAATTAAAAGTTTTTAATTAAAGAAATCTACACATCACCTTATCTTGAAAACTTCACCTGCTGTTCAGGACTGGGTATCCCACAGCCACACAGGCCCACACTACAGCAATGACCTCCTGTATCATAACTGTCTACATTAGGAGTCAGTAGGGAGTGGCAATTAAGAACAGGGGCTCTAGAGTTCAGTTGTTTGGGTTCTAGTGTCAGACCCAGCACTAGCTTTGTAACCTCTCTGAACCTCAATTTGCTTCTCAGTAAAATGAAGATAGCTACCTCATGAGATTTTTGTAGTTAATGTATGTGGACCCAGGTCCATGTAATATGGATTCAATAAATGTTAGCCATCTTGAAATTGTCTGCATTCCTCATTTAGACTCTTAAGTTGTTTGAAGGCAGAAATGGATCTTCCAAACATAGCTCTCAGTTCACCCTCAAGAAATGTTTACTGAGCCAGTTAAGAGGCCTGGGGTCAAACTGCTGTGGACCTCAGTTTTCACATTTGTCAAATGTCTGGATTGCACTTCAGATAAAGTCTGTATGACTCCTAACATTCATTCATTCATCAAATATTTGTTGGCAACCTATTACGTGCCACTCACTGTGCTAGACAACGGGGGAAGGGACAGGCTGGAGGAGCCTGGGAAGTAGCAGGGCCAGACCACCAGTTTGGAGCCAGACAGGCCCGGCTTTGTGAATTCTTGCTGTCACAAGTCAAAAACATTTGTGTAAGCCACTTGATTTCTCTGAGCCTCAGCTTCCCTATGGGCAAAAAGGGATGGGTATATTTTCCCCAAAGATCTGTGATGAATATTGAAAGGGTTAAGCTGTGTAGTGTCCCAAGCACAGGCCAATGAAATGTTGGTGGACGTCCTCATTCTACTCCCACCTCCTCAGCTTCCTTACAGGAAAAGGAGATACGCGTGTAGGTAAGTATCCTATACACCAAGTCAGAACTAGAAGTGGGAACAGAATTCCCAGCTGGGATCCGGAAGCATTTCTAGGAGCACCCTTTGAGGAGTAGGTAGGAATTGGACTCCTGGAAATTCCAGGCCCAGGGAGGAAAGCGAATTGTGAGGAGGAACGCTGGTCTGGGTCTGAACGGCTCTGAGAGGTCTTCAAGTTTGGGGGATGACGTTGGGCTGTACGATCCTAGGAACAAGAGAGTGGACATCTCCCCCAACCAACACACCCACGCCGGGCCCTGGGACGTGCCGGGGGCTGCCCTTTCCCAGTCCCGCCTCCGGAGAGGTCCCAGGTGCAGCAAGAGCTGGTGGCTGATTGGCCACAGGAGGGCAGCAGCGGCCCTTCCTGACCCCACCCCGAGCACTCTTAACTTTCCCGACGCCGGTCCTCCCCTAGGGGCTGGAAGGTTGGGCAGAGTGAGTTCACCCAGGTAGTGCTGGCCCCGCTCGCCCGGCTCCTCCGCAGTCCCGGAATAACCCCGTGGCCCTCCCCTACCTGGCGGAGTGGACGCCCCCGGCCCCAGGCCTGCGGACCAGGGAAGCGGCGGCCGCCCTGCGCGGGGCCGGGGCGGGCCGAGCCAAGGGCCGCCCCCAGCCGACCCTCCCCCTGCCGGGCCCGCCCTCCCCGCCGCGGAGCTGGAGGAGGGCGGGGCGGGGCCCTGGGGTCAGTCTGAGCCTCAGGCACCGGCCGCGCAGCTGGAGGCGGCGGAACCGAAGGTACCCTGGGCCGGGGCTGCGGGCAGCGGGGCGTCTTGGGAACTCGTCCCCGGGAGAGCACTTTGCCTTCCTCTCTGGGCCGGAGATCGAGGCCCGTGCAGGGAGGGGGCTTCGGCCTGACCCCGTTCCCTCCCTGCGGAGTCGGCATCCGGGCTGGGCGGGGGTCGGCCGCGTCGGCACCTCCCCGGGCTGCAGCGAGGGGGCCCGGACTTGCTGGCAGGGGCTCTCGCCTCCTGAGGTCCGAGTCGGAGCCCCTTCCCCTCTCCTTCCAGCTTCCTGGAACCTGCCCCGCCGGGTGAGGGGCGAGGGAGCCTCAACTCAGACGCTCCAGCCCCCAGGGCGGGCGGCCGCAGGGGACCTAGAGTGGGATGGGGTGGGAATTCCTCCAGGCCAGGAGGGAGGCATGGCGGGAATAGGGGCGGGATGTGACCATTGGGACCTGCCACTGTTCGGCAGGGTCTGGACGCCGCCCTAGACGGTTCCTGGAGCCCGCTTGTGTTGAGGATAAGGGAGATGGGGAAGGATCCAACTGTGTGTGTGTGTGTGTGTGTGTGTGTGTGTGTGTAGACAGAGAGAAAATGAGAATGAGAATCCTTCTCCTTCTTCATACTCGAACCAACAAAGAGTATCCTGGGGTTTTGGGGCTGGGATCCTGAGGCCGAGTCCCACCCTCACTCTGGTTTTAAAGTTGAGAATGAGGTATCTCCTGGTATCTCCAGAACGGATTCCTTCCCTAGGTGTAGGGTGGGTCAGCAAAGTCAACCGGCCGCTCTGGATCATCTGGGAATTCAAGAGAGCGGTTGGAGAGAGATCTGGTGTATCCACACTGTCTTGTCTTGGGGAAGGCCCCAGAAGTTCCAGGCTCCATTCCAGGACCTGTGTGGGGCTCAGTTGCCCCTCTTAAGGGGTCAGTGGGACAGTCCCTCTGGGGCTGCCTCCCATAGGGAGTTATCCATGCCATCTTGGCCTTGGGCCTAGTGTCCTGGCCTGGCCTGGGCTGCCTGCTGTTCCGGCCCAACCATAGCCTGGAGGGAAGGTCTTCTAATTGAGCTGGAGGCTCCAGGTCCCTTAACGCATGCCTCAACCCCGGGCTTCTGTCCTCTGCCTCTTACCACTCTGGTGCCATCTGAATTACCCTGCTGGGGGGACAGCAGTGACATACTCATGCCTAAGTGACTGGCTTTCACCCCAGTAGTGATTGCCCTCCATCAACACTGCCCACCCCAGGGTGGGGCTACCCCAGCCCATCTTTACAAAACAGGGCAAGGTGAACTAATGGAGTGGGTGGAGGAGTTGGAAGAAATCCTAGCGTCAGTCACCTGGATAGAATTCCCGAGGAACCCTCTTTTTGGAGGGTGGTTTCCATTTCTGGAGGCTATCTGCCGGCAGGGTGAAAGCCTTCTTGCTTGTCTTCTGGGGAATCAGAGAGAGTCCATTTTCTGGTGGGAAGAGTGTGGCTGTGTACTTTGAACTCCTGTAAATTCTCTGACTCACGTCCACAAAACCGACAGTTTTGTGAATGTGTGTGGAGGCAAGGGAAGGGCCACCTAGGATCTGCTGTTGAAGGGAACAGGCCTGGGGCTGGAGGATTCGTTTCCTAAAGGGCAGTGTGAGGTGGTGGCGGGGTGTGGGGAGTAGAGGCCTTCAGTCAGCCCAGTTTGACAGGATGTGGGACTGAGAGAAAAAGCTAGGTTTGAAGCCGAGATCAGGTTACCGTCGCTTTCTTAACTGCTCCCTGCCTGGTTGGTGCTGGGACTGGCCCTCATTTGTCTCTTCTTT